TGTGCTAATTATAGTTTTTTGGTTGCGCCACTTTGAGAATGGACCGTGCGCTGGAAGCAGCTGCCTGGATCGCTGCGCAACAATGCGCTGTGCCGCTCTCTGCTCAAAAGAGTCCAAAAATGATATAAATGATATAATATAGAAAACTTTTTTCCAGCTCCCCTGATGTGTAGGATATACAGTTCCCCCATAATTCGATCCCTGCTCCTGGATGAAAAGCCGGACATTTTCATCAATACAAGAGCCCGCAGTCCGGACGCCCGGACAGAGAGTGAAAAGTGGACATGTCCGGGGAAAACGGAACGTACAGTCACCATAGTCCTCATAAAGCAGGGAAATTACAGATACAGTATTTTGCTCGTGCCCTGGGCCCTTTAGAGTTCGTGGGCCCTGGGCAATTGCCCAGTTAATCCGGCCTTGGGCGGAACCGGTTCGCAGCAGCGTCTGCTGGCTCTCCCTCGCGGTGATCTGCCGATACCGGCTCTCCCTCGCGCTGATCTGCCGGTACCGGCTCACCCTCGCGCTGATCTGCCGGCTCTCCCTCGCGCTGATCTGCCGGCTCTCCCTCACACTGATCTGCCGGCTCTCCCTCCGCTGATCTGCCGGCTCTCCCTCGCGCTGATCTGCCGGCTCTCCCTCGCGCTGATCTGACTTGCGCTGGTCTGGAAGAGTTGTGCGACACAACGAATCGATGACGCAATTCGTTGCCAACGCTTTTAGTAATCGATTTTCATCGAATTTATCGATTCGTTGTTGCAGCCCTAGGCTACAACCAATTTTGCCCTTACATTTTGAAGACATTTTAACTTAGTGCAGTGATTTCTCCCATATGCAGTATAGGGTTTTATTAATTTTATTCTTTTTGCACCACTTTTTGCATTACACGTAGTGCATTGCACCCATTTCTTCTCTTAAATGTTAATTCACATAATTGCCTACACATAGTACATGCAGGTACTCACAGTGCTAGGTTTCTTTTTGTTTGTTAATTTGCATTAGACGCCATTTTGTTGTGTCTACATTGAGGTGCCCTGTGCTGTGCTCTCTCTCTCCTCTCCTGAGTTTCGCTGATGATCCTTGCTTCCCTGGGGGTGGACCTATGACTCGTCGTTGGATTCCGCTCCTTCTGATGGGTGTTCCGGCTCGTAGGACCTGGACGACCGTTTGTTTCGGCATGGCTGCTGGGATACTTCGCTCGCTGGGACCTAACCTGCCTGCTGCTCTTTCCTGCACTGAATCACGATAAGTGCAATTACAAAGATCAATATACTGTTGGAAGTATTCCCTACCCGTGGATACATAAAGTTTTGCTCCTGCTTCAAATTATTACCCCCACGTGGATACCTTAATAATCTGCTGACTTGAGTGCTTCCAAAGGGATTATGCGAGGCTGTTGATACCATAGACTGTTCTGAGTGGGGTTCGTACCTCACCACTTTTGGCCTCTTCCGGGGGAACTGCACATTCCCCTGTCATCGAAGTCCCTTTAGGACTCTGGTTTGTTCAACGCCAGGTGGTCTCTGTACAGACCACTGTACCATTGAAAAGGGGGGATATGTAACGTATGAAATGACTGTTTCCCCCTCTCCTCTGCACAGAACTAGTCTGTATGAGATATGGTCTCAAAGTCTCATGCATTTGCTTATAACTGCTTCTTTTCAGCTCAACAGAAGAATGGAGAATGGACTCTCTCTTTTTAATTAATCAAAGAACTCTATTTTAATAAAGCTAATCAAGCAAAGTGTTAGTCAATAAATAAGATGTGACCAATCTGTGAAATCAAAATATCAATTAGTTTATTATAATCCTATAGAATATGATCAGTAATATGACTAAGTGTTCCAATAGGACTGATCTCACGTAGCGTTAAAAGAAATGACACATTGCTTTGACTGATCCAATCAGAATCTGCCAGATCTGACGGAGGCATGGTTTTGATGGTGTTTGGTAAATCTGTCAACTTTTCATTCGACCATAAACCAAAACATCCGAAGTATAAAAC